CTCAAACAGCATCCTCTCCGGGCTCCGCCCCCAAATCTCCAGGAATTTCCCAAACCAGAGTTAGCAACCATATGAACCAGTTTCATTCTTAACTTCTCTGGACTTCCTGTCTGTGACGTTTAAGGCACTCTCCACACATTTTCAGTTGGCTCGGTGTGCTTGAATTCGAACTCCGTTTGTTGGGAAATGAGTGAGGTAATATAAGTGAAACTCCAACCTGTGCCATAAAAGATAACGTTCACATGTGCTATCTTGCTGGTAATCTTGACAAGGGCTTTGAAGGGACCATCTCTCCAGAGAGGGAGATGACTAGCGCTTATCTCCTCAGTCTGACTAGGCCAATCTGCTGGGCTTGTTCTAGATCCGGAACTTTTATTTTCAAAAGCATTAGAATTCCTAGTAATTTCACATCAAAGTGAAATTCTGAAGTAACTTAGAGTTTTCTGTTATGCGCACCTGTGGTGGGAATGTGCAGAAGTAATGACCTTTTGGAGGGAAATTACTGAAATCATTAGGAAAGTATGCAATGTAACATTACCTATAGACTTTAACCTAATGCTGTTAAGCACAATAGGAAGCCCGTTGTTGGATAAGAAAACTCAAAATCTAGTTAAGGCTATGATACTGGCAGGAAAGGCAGTTATCGCTCTGGGTTGGAAAGACAAAAGTAAATGGACAATAGAAATCTGGCACAACTATTTGTTTTATTTTATACAGTCAGACATCGTGGAATCAATCAACAAGGGAATAACATGGGAAGAAAAGAAGAAGAAGAAGCTGAGGGTGAGTGGGTTCTTTGGGGGGGGGAGAAAATGTAAATAACTATAAATACTCAATGTAACAGTCTAAAAATTAAAAAAAGTTATAGTCTATGGGGACCATTATAGTCAATGGGCCCCATAGGCTATAATGGAGAATTGATCTGGGGGTCTCTGGGTCTCTGAGGGGCTGCTGTTTGAGGTAGATGCACCAAATTTGCAGCACAGCTGCAAGTGCTTCTCTTCAAATCCCCCCCAAGTTTAAAAAAGATTGGACCAGGGGGTCCAATTCTATGAGCCCCTGAAGGAGGTGCCCCCATCCTCCATTGTTTCCAATGGAGGGGGAAATGCTGCCTCAGTTCACTGGTGGGCTCAGGCTAAAATCTCTGAGATGCCACCTAAAATTTTGTGCACCAGCACACCTAGTGCAGCTTAGATGGAGATTTGCCTATCAGCATGATCATGTTCATGTACAAAGTGGTGAGGTGAGCTGCAGGGGGATTGAAATACTAAATTATGCAGCTAACACTGTCCAAAAGTAACCCCTGGAACAACTATAGTCTGTATTCAAGGCTCTTTTTGGGGATTAGCCCCCTAGATGAACTTTTAGCCAATTCTGGAATGGGGGGGGGGAATCAGGAAGTCTGCTGAAACTACGTGTGGCTGACTTATAGGGAGGCTCCCCCCCCCCAAAAAAAAACCTGGCTAGAGACCTGGCCACAGCAATAGATACTCAGTACTTGCAGCTAATCCACCCACGGTAAATATCCTTACATCAGGGCCAATCAACGTGATTGATTTTTTCCTTGCTATTTGCTTTATTGAGGGAATTTTATGCCACTTCTCTAGAGCCCTGTATGAGGCAGAGATCAGCAGACTTCTACCATCTCAGACTTGCTATGTTAAAAGAAATGCCAGGGGAAGGCAAGCAGTGAGCAAATGGCTGTTCCTCCAAGGGCGCGCAAGGCCTGTGGTGACCGGGTGCTGGTGTCAGCAAGCTGCCATTCTGTTTTGTGTGACCTCTGTGTACATATCCTTACCCTGTTGTACCCGGCTTGTTTTCGATCATCCTGCTCCTGTGCTGGAATGCATAAGATAACTACTGGAGGAAGTGTGGGGGAGAAGATGCTGTAATGCTTGCCTATTGCTTTTCTCATGAGAACTGCACCTGTGTTTTGTCTGCTGTTCTGCCTCGTTCCCATGGACTGGGCGCGCAACCGTTTCATTAGCCCGCCAGCGGGAGTGTTATTCATTGGATATGTATCTGTTTGAATTTCCTTTATTATGCTTGACCTACCTGTGTATCCCCAGTTCTAACAAAGAACGTGTTTGAGTATGTCTTCAACGCTTTGAAATAAATTTTGCTTTTCTTGAAAACGTGGATTTATTCTCGATGCTTGGGTGACCGGGTGCTGGGCAGCGGGAGACAGAAGAGGCAACTGGCCTTGGATCTTGGGAGGGAAGCTGGGAGCCCTGATCCTCCCAGTGGGTAATTCCCGCATAGGTCAGGTGGAGGTAGCAGGCTACCTGAGAGAGAGAGAGTAAAGCCTCTCCAGGCGTTGGAAATACAGCATACGGCCTGCAGGCCAGAGTGAGCCCATTCTGCCACAGCCTAGTTAAAAGCAGATGCTTCTACCTGGGCCCTAAACTGACAGTACTGTAAGGACCAGGTTAGCCTCAAGGAGGAGGTCATCCCAAAGGGGAAGTGCTACCACTGTAGAAGCCCTATCTCTACTTGCCACTTGCCTCCCCTCTGAAGGCAGGGGCATGGAGAGCATGGAGAGCAAAGCAAATCTTAACTAGTGGGTTGGACAGTATGGAAGGAGATGGGACCTTCAGGTACTCTGGCCCCAAGTCACTTAGGGCTTTACAGGTAAGGAAACGGATGGGCTGCCCAACCAGACCTTTCAGCACGGGGGGGGGAGGGGTTCTCCCCTGGAAAGGAACAAACTACAGAAGACACCTGCAGATCTATGAAGAGAGCTGTCCAACATTTTTAAAGGTAAATGTAGCCAAGGGAGTGCCATGATTGGGATCAAAGCCAGCACAAAGGAAGAAAGGCCTCAATCCCCACCACCACCACCACACAGTTTTGCCAGCCTCATGTCCTGCAGGCTGGTGGTGGTGGGGGAGGCAGGCACCCTCTCTCTTTTCTCTTTCCTAGAATAACAGCTGGGGGGGGCAGCTTTGCTTGGTGAAACTGCAGAAGGGAGAGTTTAAACCCCTTCTGTCCGCACACTGCAGTCTTAATGACCTGAACTCATCTTAATAAGGAACCTAGCTGGTAGCAATTTACTTTTTAAAAACACTAGGCAGATTTTGTCCACAGTTCTCCCCTGCATCTCATCTAGTTGTCCCTGAAGTATCTCATTTTGACAGTTGTATCTCACTGCAAGTCTGATTGTGATTACCTTACAGACTCCGACGTACTGTTTTGACATAAAGCCAGTCCAGACAATCGAGAACTTCTGCAGGGAACACTACCTGTAAATAATATTTCTGATTATATTAAAACATTCAAGCACATATATCACATAAGATATTTTCAGGGTGCGTTTTTTTGTTATTCAGTCGCACAGTCGAGTCCGATGCTTCGCGACCCCATGGACCAGATCCCGCCACGATGCGTTTACCAAAACATATAACCTTACTTAGTTTTTCACTTTGCATAACTTAAACATCATCATGTTACATGTTAATTTGCTGTTAAATCCCTGTCTATAAGTTTAGAACCTCAACTTCCATTCCAACGTATTTGAAAAAGTGTGCCTTGCACACAGAAGGTGGACTATTAGTTTTGTTTCTGGATTGGAGGCAAGAGGCTTAAATGTTGCTTTTGACTTTGCAGACAGCCAGAGTTTTTGTTCATTTTTTAAAAATTTACTATTTAACAGTGTAATAGCACAAGTATGAAACAAACACTACAATGTACAAAACAATACCTCTATACACACACCCCAGTCCCAATATTCAGGGAGATGATAATGTACAACTGATTCATAAATGTTCTGAGAGAAAGGGAATGATCTAGCTGGTTTGAGAGAGAACAGGAAGTAGTTAATAGAGCAGAAAGAAATTGTAAAGGGACAGTAGATATCAAAAGTGCATTTATTGTTAATACTGAAAAACAAACATACATATGTAAAACAAAACAGTCACAAATTAGGTCTGAAAAAAGATAAGCAACATAGATGGCATGCAAAAGGCTCACCAAAACAGTGAATAAATCATGGAAATTCCAGATTCAATGCCTAGCATGGAACCAAACCAACACATGATTTTGAAACAATTTTCCTGCAGTCTTTGTCAATATGTTACCAAGATAAAACACAAAATATTTATTTTTGTTGAACAAATGCGGGCTATCGATCGTTCTTACCCATATGTCCATTCTGAGGCGGGCTTATCAACGATATTCTTGATCCAGCCACTGGTTCAATCTGGGTACATGCAGAAATATTAAAAGTACAGGACAATACTGTTAACAGTTGTATACTGTTACAGCATTTACAAAGCACTATATAGTAAATGCAACAGTACTTACTATCGGTACCTCTTGCCACAGCCAGCTTTTAAAAAAATAAACCTTAATTATAATAAATTATAATAAATGAATATATTTTAATAATTGTAAACATGTAAATTACAACATCTCAAGTAGTTATTAATAAAATTATCATCAGAAAACTGGTTATTCACAATGCAACAGAACAAATTATAATACAGCAGAGGTAGTCCTATTAAGATACAATAATTTTTGTTCAAAATTAAACACTGTTCTGTATTGTTTTGTGTCTCTCCTTTATCTATGTAAAACATGAAATGTTCTCCATTCTTATTATATCCCAAAGTTTTATAAGCCATCTTTATCTTAAGTGTATTCTAGATCCCTATTGCTTCAAGAGGAGTACCATGTCAACATCTAGCACAGAGGTGTCAAATGTGCAGCTTGTGGGCCAGATCTGGCCCGCACAGGGCTCAAAACCGGCCCCCCAAGCAACTTCCTTTTCCTGCTTCCTTTCCCAGGGCTGCTCCTGCAGCTGTACCCTAGCTTGCTTTTCCCCAGCTCCCTCAGTGGTTCTTTGCTTCCTGCCTCTTGCACCTTGGCTCCCTCTCTCTTGTCTGTCTGTCTCTCTCTCTGTCACACACACACAGAAGCACACAGAGAGCTCCGTGGCTGCTTCCTGCAGGAGATACAAAGACAAGCCTCTCTCCCCCCACATACACACACACACACGCACACACAAATATTTGGAGGCAATTCAGAGGGGGATTTAGAAAAATAAGGTTCTCAAAAAGAAAGTTGCAAGTACACTTACTCATATTCTCTTCTTCTTAGCTCTACTTCTGTTTTGTTCTTGTTATGTTGAAGAAAACAATTAGTCTCTACCATATGCGGGGGTGACCGAGGGAAGCCTCCTACTATCTGACCCCCCTCCAGGTCAGGTGGTGCCCACCTGGTAAGCGGTCCCGGAGGGCTCCAAAAAGTGAAAAAGGAAAGGGCAATTCGGGAGCGTCCCGAAAAGCGCCCACTTGCCACGCCACACCGGAAGTCCAACACAGCTTTGTTGAAAGTATGAGCTTTCGAGAACTGCTCTTCAGAGAACAGCTCTGAAAAGACAGGTTGCTTACCTGTAACTGGTGATCTTTGAGTGGTCATCTGTGCATTCACACCCTTGGGATAGTCTGCGCCTGCACTAACCTTCTTCGGTACCGTTAGAAAGCCAAAGGGATTTTCGCGCCCCCTCCCAGGTCACGCGCCGGGCCCCACTGCGCATGACCAAGGAGGGGCACGCAGATCCCGCCAGTTCCTTCTGACCGCCACCCAACAGCCTTCAAAGAACAAGATAAAGGGCCGAGAGCAGAGGGGAAGGAGGGCGGGTGGTGTGAATGCACAGATGACCACTCGAAGATCACCAGTTACGGGTAAGCAACCTGTCTATCTTCTTTGTGGTCTCTGTGCATCACATCCTTGGGAGACTACCAAGCAGTAAACGCTTACCTGGAGGAGGGGCCAAGGCCCTACATCTGTGCTGTCTGTAACACCGCTCGACCCACTGCTGTACGTCTACTGAGTCGTGTATCAAGGGCGTAATACTTCATGAAAGTGAGGGGAGTAGCCCAAGTCGCGACGTTGCAGATGTCTTCTAACGACGCACCTCTCAAGAAAGCTGTAGATAGGAGAATTACTGGAACTCCACGGTGTGTTGCTGGGACTGTCCTTCGTATGGAATTGGTTCAATCTTCGCTCGAAGCACGTGCTTGGAAAAGGGCATTCAAGTTGAGATTTAAGCTATCTGACCCAAGTCATCACCCCCAGGCCGGTTTTCTTCGTCTCATCCTAAAGGACACGACATCCAACCCTTGGTTGTCCCTTCTTGCGGGTAAACTCAAGACATTGGGAGTTCCGATTTCCTCACCTACTGAAGAGCTGTTGCCCTCCCAGCTCGCGGAAACCTTGAAGAAACTCAAACAGTTGGATTGGGCTAGCACCGTGGCCAGGGCCAGACGCACCTGTTCTTCTTTGGCTCTGGGGTTGCCCCCTCCAGAGAGATTTCTGGATTTTCATTCATCGCTACCAATTCCATCCCACCGTCGCGCCTTTATGCTGGCCCGCTTAAATGCATTTCCAACGATGGTAACGCTGGGAAGATTTAGAGGCTTACCTTACTCAGATCGCCTCTGTTTGTGCAAATCTGGCGAAATTGAAACTTTAGACCATCTGATGTTTTGCTGTCCCCATTGGACTCAAGATAGAGGGATATATATCATTCCTATTCTTACGAAGATGAATCTTCCCTTGCAACCTTGGGTGCTTTCAGTATTGTTGTCTGATTCAAATGCCGATGGACTGATAACAGCTAACGTGGCACGGTTCCTGGCTAAGGTTGCTGCTCTCAAGAAACACTGAAAGCTTTATCATCTCTGCAAACACCTGTACCGATTTTAATCTTTGGAGGATTTTAGTTAGTTGGCTCCGCCCCAAGTGTAGTTA